TATTCTATTCTATTCTATTCTATTCTATTCTATTCTATTCTATTCTATTCTATTCTATTCTATTCTATTCGCTCTGGATTGAAGTTTTCTTAGGGACTAGTAGATTGTATTGAAATTTTGGAGGAGCATATCAGAACACACCCATTTCACCTGTTGCAACCAGGAGCGTGAATTGCACCGAAGGAGGACAGGGCTCCCCTCCCCTCCCTTCTCTTCCTCCCCCTCCTCCTTTCAGGCAAACCCCAAGTCCCCCAGGGCCCGGTTCGGTCCAGGTTGCTCCTCCTCGGAGTTTAGCGTAATCCCTTCGTAAACTGGGTTAATCACAACTGGGGAAGAGAAAATCCCACTTAATCTACCGGAGTTAAACCTCAGGGCCGCTCACAGGAGATTCACGGCCTCCGTGGATTGTGAACGGGGAATTCAACAAATCCCACTTCCTTAACCACGTCACGCGCCTGCCTGGGTACCCCAGCGGCCATTTTGTGAGTGCTCCCACCATTCAGAACTTGAATCTTAACCTCAAAGCTTTCCCTGCACTTGCTGTAGGCTGCAAAACTTGGGGGCTGCAAAGAATGCAAGTCCCTCCCGGCTGATTTGCCTTCATTGGGAACCACAGACAGCGCACCATCCCATAATACAGGCAATCCTCGGCTTACAACCAGAGTTGAGCCCCCACCCCCACCCCCAAATTTCCCTTGCTAAGTCAGACCCTCGTTGGGCGAGTTTTGCTCCATTTGACAAGTTTTCCTTGCCACCGTTGTTAAGCGGATCACCGCAAGTTGTTAAGCTAGGAAGATGGTCCCTAAGTGGCTCTGGCTTCCCCATTGAGTTTGCAACCGTCATAAATATGAGTCAGTTGCCAAGCTTCCTAATTTCGAACACGGGACCCTGAGGATGCTGCAACGGTCGTAAGTGTGAAAAATGGCCATGAAGCCACTTTTCTCAGTGCCATGGTAACTTCGGCCACGAAATGAACAGTTGTAAGTCAAGGACTACCTGTAAAATCTGGATGAAGCCCAGAGATCGGCTCTCTTAACGTGGCACAGGAGCCCTCTGGTTCCAGAAGCGATTTATCATCGCTCCCTCTCATTATCAACAGCCGAGTCAAACATCCATGCGCCTGTTTAACAAAACTGACATCCTCCTCATCACACACACATACATTTTATATATATATATATATATATATATAATTGGCATAAATCTCAATATTTAATCTCCCCTTCATGAATATTACAAGGCACCTAAATATCTCTGGAGCAGATTTGCTGAAGGGGTTTTATTAAAGCCACTGACTCCCAGTGGAGGCTGCCGCAGGACGAGGACATTCTCAGAGTTGCTAGATGAAGGAGAAACGGATTGCGGGATGGGTAAATGAGTATTTGTGTGTGTGTGTGTGTGGGTGTGTGTGTGGGTGTGTGTGCGAGTGTGTCCATTTATACTGCTGGAAGGGGAGAACACCCCTCTTCTTTGCACGAAGGTAACTCTTGAGTCTGCTGGTGAGAGGGATGCATAGTTTTCTCCCCTATCAGCTATAGTGAACTAGCTCTTTAAGCCTGCTGGCTGGGGGATTCTGGGAGTTGAAGTCCTTCCCTCTCAAAGCA